CTGGAATCCGGCCTCCTGCGGGCTCCAGGCTTCCGGCCATCTTGCTGTTTCCTTGGCTAGATTCCCCTCTCCTCCTGAGCAGCCCCTTGACATGGCATCAGCATCACAGAGAGAACAATTGTCAGCCAGGGCCTCCCTCCTCTTCCTGCTCCAAACTTACCTGGTCTGCATTCTTTCTTCTCCCCTATCAAAGTGGCATTGGAAGCCCAAGGCCTCCATCGCGGGCCCTGGAGCCACCCTCCCTGCCTCTCCACTCAGGGATGTTAAGAACAGCCTCTTCTCTGCCTTCTGTCTTAAACTTCTGGTTCTGTCCACATTCTATCAACCCATCGCATCTCTCCCATCTTAAAAAGCTGCTCAGTCGCAAAGACGGGTTGGTCCCACCCTCCGAATGTCCATCAGATGTGTTGTGTTTCACTCCGTCCCGACAGCCACCCCTTTGTCTGGGCCCCCATCATCTCCCATCTGGGGATGCCTTTCACCCCCCAAAGAGGTCCCCTGTCCCTGTTTTTGCCCCTCCCAGTTAATTCCCTACGATGCGGGTAGAATGACTGTCCTAAACCACAATTCCGACCAGGCCATTCCTCGGCTTAAAATCCTTCACTGGCGTCCTCCTCACCGTAAGCAATGGTGTCACCCACTATGGAGCTGCTGAAGCCTGGGACTGGCCCAGGGCCCCTCCCTGGGTGCACCCTTGCCTCTCGGCCATGAACGCTTGGGTTCGGGCCCCACAAACTCTCTGTTTCCTTGAGGAAGCCAAGTTCTCTCGTCTCTGGACCCTCCTCCTGCTCTTCCTTCTTTGTGGGATACCCTTTCTTCTCCATCTCTCTAGCTTGGCCTGCTGCTTCTCGTCCCTCAGGGGCCAGCAGAAATGGCCCTTCTGGGACTGACTGGACATTTCTTTTCATTCGTTCTCTCCTAAAGCCAACTCCCAGCTCTACATTGCAGCCAGCCGGGCCCAGATCCTATTCTGGGCAGAGTACTTCCCTCATTAAAAGCTTTCCATGCTTCTCATTGTCCCGAGGACAAAGTCCAAATTCCTCAGCTGGGCTGACACAGCCATTCCACAGACCAGAGGAAAGGTGGTGAAACTATTTGGTAGGAGCAAGGTGAAGGCTTTCCTTCTCCTTTCCCTTCTCCTTCCCCACTCATTTTCTCGTGACACGGAGGCCAAGCCTGGGGGTGGGGGGTTGTTTGCTGGGGTGTGAAAGTGATGGAGAGAACTTGGGGGCCGCTGTGGAAGGAGGAGCTGACCAGGGAAGATTGTGTAACTGATGAGTACAACTGGGGACCGGTTGAGATGGGTGGTGGTGACACCAGGTTGCCTGGCTGTGTGGATTTCTCTAATAACATTTCACCATGAGGCAGACAGGTGGATTTATCCAAGGGCGGGGATTTGCTGGAAAGTGGGACCAAAGGATGGGGGACTAAGGAGTTGAGGACTCTGTCAAGGAGTGGGTGAAATGATGGGTCATGGAATCTTAACTAGAAGGGAGACGAAGACAGGAGGGGCCAGTGGATGGCTGCTGGCAGTGTGGACTGAGATGGGAAATCAGTGAGATGCTCTGAGCAAGCAAACAAGCCGGAGGTGGGAGATTGTGGGAAGTCAGCCCTAGTGATTGCAGAAATAGTAGCATTTCTGCTCTGCCTGTGCCTCAACCCACCTCCTGCCCAGACCCACATTATAAGCTACGTTATAGCTGCGTGTGGTGGTGTTACTTCCCCAGCCCTTTGGAACAGCTCTCAGGGGCAAAGTCCAGATTCTTCATCTGGCATCCTTCCCAGGAGAGCTCAACAAAGGCCTTGCCCATGGTGGCTGCTTACTCGGACATGTGTGCTGTATAACCCCTCCCCTCCCCTTTCTCTAGGACTGTGTTTCTGTTTTCCTTTAGTTTTTTGTTTTTGTTGTAGCATGCTATTTGTTTGTTTGTTTTTCTCAAAGAAACCGTCTGCCTCTTGTTTGGGTTTTTTTAAAAGTAATCTCTAGGCTCAACATGGGGCTCAAACTCATGACCCCAAAATCAAGAGTTGCAGGGTCCACCAACTGAGCCAGCCATGTACCCTTCCTTTAGTTTTTTAAAAGAAACATTGTAAAAGAGTCTAACCTTTACTCAGCTGCAAAAGAGCAGGACTTCTCCCCATGTTACAGGATGGAGGGGCAGTCTGTGGTCCTTCGATGGCCCTGGAGGTGATGAGAATGGGAGCCCCAGAAGAGGGAAAATTTGGGGGCAGGAAGATTCCAGGCCAATAGTGGACAGTGGCCTAAGTTCCCAACCCGTCCCTGTTCTGGGTAGGTCTCTTCCTGATCCTTGCATACACATTGCCATCCATCCAAGCTGAGTCCTTCATCCATGCAGCAAAACTACTATGTGTCAGGCCCACCTTGGGAGCGAGGGACATACGGATGAGTAACACCACAATCCCGATTCAGGAGACAGGCACACAGGGAAAGAATTCTAGACTGGTGCCTGCAGTTGTGGGTCCAGGCATAGAAAATGGGCAACTCATTAGTTTCAGGGGACAGGGCTGGGGAAGATGCCTAGAGAACTGGGTCTTGAAGGGTATGAAGGCAAGGAGAAGAGAGACACGAAGCCTGGGAGAAGTGAGAGGACATGGGACGGTCACGACAGTTCCGTGCGGCTGGCTCCTGGGCTGCTTTGAGGTGCGAGAGCGGCCAGATCATGTCGGGGAGCCTGTGCGTTAGTGTGCATGCCATGGGGGATCGGGCAAGGACTTGAACGTTTTAGGACAGCCCTGAGGTGCCACCTGGAGCTTCCCAGGTATAGTCTGAAACTGGCCCTCGTACATGGAGCGCAGGAAGAGATGAGACACAGAGACAGGCCACTCTAGATCTGTGGCTCGCAGGTGTAATGGGTAAGGGAACTGACTTATGAGGTTTTCTTGGGTGGCTACAAGACAAGGAGATCTCTGGACCTGCCCGTCAGGTCTTGAAAGTTTATACAGAGGCCTTCAGTGGGTTCAGTCTCATGTGCCATTCCGATAGTCTCCACACAACACAACTGTCTCAAGGCTGTATTCCTGGGGCAGCTTCCAGGAGCTGGAAAGTCAAGCGGGACACACATCTGAAGGACAGGAGAAGGGGTGGGGAACTTCCCATTGCCTGGGTCCAGCTCATGGGTCAGCTGGCGGTCACATTCCCCTAACCCCATCACCTCCCCTAAAGTCACTGGCTCAAGGGTGTGTGTTGGGGTTGGGAGGGAGATGAACTGAAGAAGAAAAGAACAAAAGCAGGGAGCCCCAGGAGGAGGCTGCAGAAGTCAGGCATGGATGGGGAGGGTGCTAGGAGTGAGCCCAGAGAGCTGGGCGCCCCACGCACATGTGTCTGGGGAGGCCGCAGGTGGTGATGTGGTCGCTAGACCCTGGATAAGGAAGAAACGAGGGTGCCGTCGGGGACCATGCTGCGCTTTCTAGCCTGGGTGCTGGGTGAAGGCCACAGCTCCCAGGTGAGACGAGGAGCTGGTTCAGGATGAGGACGAAGGGGATGGGATGTTGAATATGTGGGGTCGGAGATTCCATAGTCCCCGGGCAGAGGTTCTGCTGCTCCGGTGGTCCCGGACATGGCTTCTTGTTTCCGCTCACCTGGCTCCCTCCTTGGCAGGCAACACCCTTCCATCATCCATCAGCTCAGCGTTTTCTCCAGGAAAGCCCCTAGATCTTGGCCCCTGAAAGCAATTTTCTCCCCGTCAGAACCCAGGTAGCTCTACGCTTAGCGCCCCTTGGAGGCCTGTCCGGTGTCCCTGCCTCTCTTGGCTCCCTGGCAGGGCTACGGGGCCCCTGACCTTGGATGTTAGAGGTGATCGTTGCCACCCAGGAAGTTCTGTGCCGTAGAAGGGCGATCCCTTCCAGGGCTGACCCCAAGCAGACAGTGACTCTTACAGCCCAGGGGGGTTTCCAACAACCCTTCCGTGCCTGGGGTTGGGGGGGGCAGGTGGGGGTGGGGTGCAGAGGGAGGCCAGCCAGTGCAGCAAGTACACAGGCCAAGATATCCCAGTCCCAGAGGTGAGATAGGGAACTGTGGCCTCCAGGGGGAACCAGCTGATGAAACCCCAGTGCTTCAGGATTTACCTCGAAACAGTGCAGGAGCAAATGTGAAGGATTCGGGGTACACTCCCCCTGCCCCAGACCAGAAACCCACCACCTTCCCAAAGGGAAGCCCCTCCTCCCCCCAGCTTGCCCGCACGGTACCAATGAGGAGAAACCACACGCCTGACTGGGGACATGGCACCTTTGTCAGCTAGAGGGAGACACAGAGTATTTATTACCTGTAGAAGGGCAGTTGCTGGGGGGTTATTGGGGAGGGGGACGGAAGGTCTCTAGGTGAGATGGCCAGGGACAGACAATCACCATGACAGTGGCCACCACTTTTATTGCACACCTGCCACGTGCCTGATCCCTCCACACACGATGGCATGTGGTCCTCACGATCCAGTTCACAGCACATGACTGTGACTCTCCAGAACCCAGGGCTCAGAGAGGTTCAGTCACTTGCCCCAGGCCCCCAGCTGGTGAGTGGCAAATGGGGGGATTCCAGTCCAGTCCGGAACTTTCTGGAGCCTGTGTCCTTTCACTTTGTCACCTGTTACTCTCCTCAGTGAACAGGTGCCGGGTTGGTCTCCGGGCTAGGCAGGTAACAGTCCCTCCCGGAAACTCCCTGACAGGTGTTACAAGGCAGGGTTGCATCTGAGGGGTGTCGGGAATAAGGGCCAAGAGTCTTCAGGGATCCCAGAGAGAGTCAGGGTCACCCCCCCCCACTTCTGAGGAGACACCCCCATGCCTTCCTGTGGCAAGGGGACATGTGGGCTCTTCAGCACAGGTCATGCAGCCTCACAGAGGGTCGGACAGTCCTGGGGAGATGGATAGACTCGCACACTCCCTGGCATGTGTCTGTGCAAGCACACGCCCACCCACGCGCACCGACAGCCTGGCGCAGCCCTGTGGCTGCTGGGGCGGGGGGGGCGGAAAGGGGAATTGGGGCTTGGTCAGATGAGGCTGGCGATGCTGGACGTGGTCTCGTGACGCTGGCCAGCAGACAGCTGGCCCGAGATGCTGAAGGTGCTGCCGTGGCCGCCGTGGTCACCGGGGGTGGTGGGGGCGGCTGTGTGGAGGGGAGGACAGTGTCCGCTCAGACCCACCTGGTACAGCAGCAAGCCCAGCAGCAGAAGTGAGCCTGTGGCAGCCAGGCCGATGCCCACTGACAGCATGGCAGCCAGCGGCCGGGCCGGGGCAGGGGCGGCGGCCAGCCCGGCCAGCGTTAGGCCGGTGACCAGCACCACCAGGCCGCTGAGCAGCACCACGAGCGCATCGGCCCCTCCACCGCTCCGCAGCAGGGCCACATGGTGGGGCTGGCGAAGACAGTTCATGTCCTGCACCGCCGAGCTCATCAGCTGCTTGACCAGCACCAGCAGGGCCAGCAGGCAGAGCACTGTGCCCGTCGCCAGCCGCCACTCACCGGAGCGGCTGCTGGTGGAGGACAGCAGTGCCACGCCACCCGCCCCACAGCCCGCCACCAGGACCACGGCCACGGCGAAGCAGAGTGCGGAGCGCCGCGGCTGCTGGGACCACCATAGCTCTACCTGCTCTCCCAGCATGTCTGGGGGCAGCCCCCCCGGGCCCGGCGGGGCTGGAGCCTCTCCTTCAGACATGGCCAGGGGGCGGGGGAGAGGGCAGAGGGCAGTGTCAGGGGTTAGAGGGTGTGGGTCATGGCCTAGAGCCCCCACCACCTGCTTGGCAGCTAGAGGCCCAGAGTCCCGTTCCTCTCCCCGTCCGGGGTGTGGTCACCATCACCTGCAGGGGGGATCACACCTGTTACCTCCCCAAACAACTCACCCTTTATGGTCTCTCCTGGGAGCCTTGGGGATGATCCCTGGGACTCCTCCCCAGTGTCCCCTGACAGCCCCCTCCCCAGCACTGCCACTCAGGAATGCTTCTCCAATGATCCCAGGAGAGTTCCCCCACATAACACATCCCCCACCCCCTCCAGGGAAGCCCCTGGCCCAGCCCCTGACCTCTCTGGCTCTCTCAGTTGCCTGTCCCATCCCGGCTGGCCGAAGGAGCTGGTGTCACAGTGGATGATAGGACCAAGAGCAGAGATAAAGCCTCATTCAGGATCTGCCTCACATGGCCTCAGCTGTCACGGCTGGCTCCTGGGGGGAGGGTAGTGGGGGGGGGAGGGGGCTTATGACTTAACCCTTCTGGAACCAGCAGCCTGACCCTGAACCTTCTTTCTTGGGACACAGCTACTTCTCTGTGGGTCAGGATGTAATCCCTAACTCTTCCCTTCCCCCATATCTCATCTGATTTCCTACCCACAACTGCTGGTGCCCCATCCCTCTCTCCCCCAAACCCGGATCTCCCTCCTAAGCTCCAGACCCATAAGCCAATCGTCACCTTCATGTTCCCTAGTCGTCTCTGATGCAACACTTCCCCGCCCAAGCTCCGTCATCTTAGCCTAGACCTCCTCTCCTGCTCCTTACTTCCTTGTGAAGTGCACGTCCCAGGGAGGCTACCTGTAAACCTCTCTCCACACTGTCCCTGCTTCCATCCCCGTGCATCCTGCCACATCATCCCCACCCAAGCCCCTCTTCCTGCCTCCTTTCTTCATTCTCCCTCTCACCAATGCCCCCATGCCATCCTCCTCCTCCACCATTATTCTAAAGTGGAGCAAACGGAGGAGGGCTCTGTCCTTGAACCCCAGCTGCTGTCCTTACCAGCCATGGGACTCTGATGAAGGACCTGACAGTGGTTACTCATTTAACATTTAACCTTCCTCTAGAGGCCAGCCAACATGATTCAAACTGGGCAAAATAAAGCAGCCATGGTCCCTGCCTTCAAGGAAAGCCAGCTTACAGCAGGTGCTTATATGTGATAAAAGCCCCGAGTGGGGGAGTCAGAAGAGGGGTTCAGGGGAGGGTCAGAGAAGCCCCTCTTAGAGCCTCAGTCTTCCTATTGGAAAATTAGGACGATAATATTTATCTTGAAGCATGGGGGCGAGTCATTTGACATCTCCGCTTCAAATGCATAGATGTCCAAAGACCTCTTTAAAATAAAAGAATACATGTTCTCTCCTCCAATTCAGGAGAGGACTTCTGCTTTATATATAGGATGCGGGTCGTGGGTCGTTCCAGGAATATGATGAACGTGGCCCTCCACGGGTTAACACCCCGATGAGTGGTCCTTCCCCACCCCTCTGCAAGGGCAGCCACACACACAGGGTAGGAGCAGGTGCAGATGCCCCCAAGGGAGGTGGGGGAGGGGCCTTAGGAGTGGACCAGAACTGAATCCCAGCATTCCTCAGGGCTGTGACTTCACTGGTCTGAAGGTGCTAGCACAGGTGTGCTGGGACAGTGGGGCCAGGCTGGGGGTGGGGTGGAGGTTCTCAGGCAGAGCCAGGGGGGAGAAGGTGGGGGCGATGGGGATCAGGGGATCATGGGGGACTCACAAGAAGTCTGGAAATGCTGGATCCGATCAGAGCAGGCTGGGCCAGGCAGGTGGGGGCATTCCAGCTCCGTTTCCGGGGAGGTGCTTCACCTGCCTAACCTGCGTCCAGGTAAGGCCTGGGTGTGGGGGGGCGGGGGGAGGGGGATCAACAGGTGTTTCCTAGGCAGGGCTTGAGCCGATTGGCTGACGTGGCACAGCTCCATCTGCCGGGCTGAGGCATTCCAGGGAAGGGAGGGGCTTCTGTCTGCTGCTGTTAGGGCTCTAACACAATTCTCAGATCTGGGCAGTAGGAGGAATGTTGTCTATCTGCCCCAGAGTCCGGACCCTAACCCATCGCTCCAGCTCCAAGCCCAGCTCAGTTTTAGTTCTATCCTAAACCTAATCCCAACCCCAGGTGCACTTTCAAACCCTAATTAGATTTCCTAGCTCCGACCGCAACCCCTAGCCCACATCTCAGCCCCAACCCCCAGCCCCATTTCCAAATCCAATTCCAGCCCCAGGTTCAAATCCCAACCCCAAATCTGGCTTGAAACCTCAGCTCCAACTCCTCACCCCGGCCACAGGCTCCGTATTCTGGAATTAGATCCTAGACTACAACCTTGACTCTTGTTCCTGAATTCAGCCCCAAATCCCAGCCCCAGACTTGAATCCTGCCTCAGCCCCAAATCCCAACACCAGCTGATCCCCAAACCCAGGCCCAGTACCCTCATCCCTGGATTGGAGCCCGTACAAGCCCGTTGCTCTGTTTCCTTTAAAGCCCCAAGTGCCTAGGTTGGCCTCCTGGACATGGCTCCTGCTGGGGGAGGTGGGACTTGAACCCAACCAAAGGGGAAAGGCTTTTCAGGTGTGAAAAACGACCTCCCTTGCTTAAAACTCTTGCAGAATAAACCCTTCAGGGTATCCACCACACTCCTTTGCTGGGCTTGAGTAGCCCCTGCCGTCTACGCCAGGCCAGTCATTTGCCACTGGCCCCTGCCCTCCAGCCAGATGGCATGCCCCGCAGTTCTGTGTGCTCTGTCCACTGCTTTGCCCTTCCAGTGGGTTTTTGAAGTCAGAGTTCCCCTGCATAGGGTATTTGCCACCATCCAGCCTCAGTCTGGCCAACTCAAATTCTTCAACTGGGACGTCACCTCCTCCGGGATCCAGGTGGGTTTAGGTGCCTCTGGTATACCCACGGCCCCTGTGCTTGCTCTGCAGCTGCTCTTACCTGAGCCTGTGCTGTCATTGCCTCTTTACCTATTTGTCATCCCCCATGACACGGGGGTCTTAGTGTCTGTTTCTGCTAACCACCTGACCATAGTAGGCAGCATTTTGCCTGGCATGTGGGAAGTAATGATAAATATTTGTCGAATGAATGAATGTGTGAAGTGATAGGGGCAGGCAGTGTTCGAGATAAGGCTGGAAGGACAAGTTTGACAGGTTGCACCGGGACTCACTCAGGTGAGGCGTTTGGACTCCTCTGAGGTGCCCTGGGGGATTCTGAAGTGTCCCATAGATGTGGCCGGGGCCCTGCTTCTTCTTCTTCTTCTTCTTCTTTTTCAAATATTTATTTATTTGACAGAGAGACACAATGAGAGAGGGAACACAAGCAGGGGGAGTGGGAGAGGGAGAAGCAGGCTTCTTGCTGAGCAGGGAGCCCGATGTGCGGCTTGATCCCAGGACCCTGGGATCATGACATGAGCCCAAGGCAGATGCTTAACGGTTGAGCCACCCAGGGGCCTCCCTGCTTCTAATAATAGGGGAATCTGGCAGCACCCACCACACGCACTTTGGGTAGGTGAAGGGGGTCTGCTTGGAGGTGGTTGCAGACTGTCACCCATTTCCTGGGTTGGGCCTCTTGCAATGTCTCTTGCTTTCTCTCCTTCTGATACGTGTGAAATAGAAAAGGAAAACGAAGTCCGGGTTTTCTTCCCATTATCAGCTCACAAAATAACCACGCTTGAGCGTCTGTGCCTCTCTTAGCTTTGTTCAGTGCGGGTGATGGGGGAGCCAGTCATAACTTGAGAGCAGTGCTAGCAAATAGAATTACAATGCGAGCCACAGATATGATTTAAAATTTTCTAGTAGGGGCGCCTGGGTGGTCAGTCTGTTAAGCGTCTGCCTTCGGCTCAGGTCATGATCCCAGGGTCTAGGGATTCCCTGGGATCCAGACTCACATCTATCTTGAGAAGCCTGCTTCTCCCTCTCCCTCTGCGGCAACCCCTGCTTGTGCGCTCTCTCTCTCTCTCTCTACCTGGGTCAAATAAATAAATAACTTAAAAAAAAAAATCTTCTAGTAGCCACGTTAAAAAGGTTCAAAAAAAGGTGAAAATAACATATGATAATTTTTATTTAACCCCCAAATATTTTCATGATCGTGAATGATTATGATTTCCATGTAGTGTATGATTACAAATGAGTGATAAGATACTTCAGTCCTTTATTCTGGAAATCTCAGTTCAGACTAGCTACGTTGCAAAGGCTCAGTTGCCACATGTGGTCCATGGTTCCCTGACTGGTGCAGATCTAGATGATTCTTCCCCTCGAGGAAAAGTGCAGGCAAGCTGACTTGCTGTGGGGCGGGCTGGATCTCAGGGAGGCCCACGTGGGTGTGCCACTTTGCGAAACTTTACAAAGGTACCCCCTGCCCTGGGGCGAGGGGGTGAGGGGGGGTGAGGGGGCAGGGAGGGTCAGGGTTCCAGGATGTGTGTTCCTCAGGCTGAGAGGCTGATTTCTAACAATTATTTACCTTCCTGGTTTTAAAAAGTCAGCCCCAGCCAGGCCCATGGTCTAGCTGTCCTGAATGGAGCTGGGGCAGGGGAACTCATGAGATTTTTTTCTCCCTTTCCCCCGAGCAGTTTGAGAAAAGACCTTGTTGGGCGGTGGTAATGCAGCCTAAAAGGTTCCTTAGCTTACACTGATTGCACGAGTCCTTGGTGTCTGGATATTATCAAATAAGTCTGCAGTCCAAGTGGACAGGCAGGCTCCTTGCAGGGCTTTTGAACTGTGTTCCCAAAATAGAAGCTGCGGGGGTAGCTCAGATGGGCGTCAGTGAAAACCAGGAGTAGGAGGTGGCAGTGGGCACAGAACACAAAATATGGATTCTTTTTTTTTTTTTTTTAAGATTTTATTTATTTAAATGATGGAGAGAGAGAGATGGCAAGAAAGGGAACACAAGCAGGGGGAGTGGGAGAGGGAGAAGCAGGCTTCCTGCTGAGCAGGGAGCCCGATGCGGGGCTCGACTCATGGACCCTAGAATCATGACCTGAGCCAAAGGCAGATGCTTAATGACTGAGCCATCCAGGCGCCCCCAAAATGTGGATTCTAACTGGTCGATTAGATGGCCATTGGACAATGGGAATTCTGAGAGGTCCACCTCTCAAAAGAGAGGCCCCGTGGCCCAGTCTCCCTGCTTCTGCTGCATTTCCCCCTCAACCTACTGTCACCCGGGAAGCCGGGCTGACCCTGTCCTCATGCGGAGCTGGTCCTGTCCTTACTATGCACATGCCTCCAGTGGCCCACCTTCTTCAAACAGCCAAAGTCCTCCCGGATCTCCAAGGCCCTCTCTGATTTCATCACAGCTATCCCTCCCTCACTTGCTCTTGCTTGGAGGCTTTGCATGGGCTGTTCCCTCTGCCTGGAATGCTTTTCTCCCACGTGACTCCCTCCTGCACCTTCTGTCAGGTATGTGTTCAAATATCACCTTCTCAGCAAGAAGCCCTTCCCCGACACCCTATAA